CTTTGTAAGTTGTTTATACGTTGTAAAATAGAAAATATTCTAAATCAATAAAAAGTTTCAAATATTGTATGACCACTGCACTTTTTATATAAAGCACTCATTGATGTAAGAAATGACTTTGCCTTGCGTGGAAAATCTTAAACTATGTCGAATCGTACATATAGATTTTGATTTGTGTGGAATGTCAAAAACTCATGTGGAATATTTCAAAATAAAAAATATTCCACATGAGTTTTTGACATTCCACACAAATTAAAATCTATATGTATGATCCGACAGTTTATGATTTTTCACGCAAGGCAAAGTCATTTCTTACATCAATGAGTGCTTTATATAAAAAGTGCAGTGGTCATACAATATTTGAAACGTTTTATTAATTTAGAATATTTTCTATTTTATAACGTATAAACAACTTACAAAGTTTTATATATTTTTTATATTTTTGTAACCATGTATAAAAGATTTTACTTGGCGTAACTTATTGATATCATTTCTTTTGTAGAATAGATCTTGTAGAGGAAGATTTTGATAGTAATACTTTTTCTAGAGTATATATATACCCGACAATTACTTTAAAATCTCTTGTAGGCAGGTAGAAGGAGTAAAACTGAGTCAAAAAGTCCTGAACCATTTTTTTCTATTACATATAATAAAGAAGTAATTATTGAATAAATCAAGCCAATCAACGCTGATCTTTAGTTGAACGCACGTCAATGAACCACGCGCCTGGTATGCGTGAGCGCTCCGCGCGGCTCACTGACGCGTGCCCGGTTAAAAAAGCCGTCGCCTTTCCTTACTTTCCTATTCGCCCACCACGTTTGTCTCGCAATATTCACATACATATATCACAGATGATCTGATATTCTAATAACGCTCTCTTCTCCACCGGCGTGATTAAACAATTATTAGGTTCGCAACTAAGTTCCCGCTGTTTGTCAATAAATGGCTTCAGCAGTAAGTGCTGGTCGATTTTGACATATCCAAAACGTCACGGGCCAAGCTTAGACATATGGTAAATAAACCGCCTTGACACGTTAGTGATTTTGTTTTGGCGTCATATACTTTTGGTTGTGTGAAAATGTCTGATTTTGTACCAAATAATTGTCATTTGCGGGAAGTGTTGATTTTCTAATTTCATTCGAAGAAAACGGCGGGTGAAGCGCATCGAGAGCTCCAAAAAGTTTACGGAGATGCTGCTCTAAGTGAAACAACGTGCCGTGATTGGTTCCGTCGCTTCAAAGACGGTGATTTCGATGTTGACGACCGTCCGCGTGAAGGAAGGCCAAAAACCTTTGAAGCTGAATTGGAGGCATTGCTCGATGGAGTTCTATGCTAAACGCAAGAACAGCTTGCTTCAGCATTAGGAGTTACCCGCCAAGCCATTTCCAAGCAATTGCATGCGTTGGGAATGATTCAAAAGCAAGGAACTTGGGTTCCTTATGATTTGAAGCCAAGGGACGTTGAGCGTCGTTTTTTCGCCTGTGAACAACTGCTCCAGCGGCAAAAAAGGAAGGGTCTTCTTCATCGCATCGTGACGGGTGATGAAAAATGGATTCATTACAGCAACCCAAAGAAAAGAAAGTCATGGGAACTGCCTGGTTATGCTTCTACGTCGTCGGCTCGGCCGAATATTCACGCTGCGAAGGTTATGCTGTGTATTTGGTGGGACCAGGTCGGTGTTATTTATTATGAGCTGTTGAAACCGAACGAAACCATCACTGAGGAACGGTATCGAATTCAATTGATGCGACTGAGCCGAGCACTGCGCGAAAAACGACCACAATACGAGCAGAGGCACGATAAAATGATTCTACTGCATGACAACACTCGGCCTCATGTTGCCAAACCCGTTAAAACCTACGTGGAAACGCTCAAATATGAAGTCCTACCCCACCCGCCATATTTCCCAGATATTGCGCCGTCCGATTATTACTTGTTCCGTTCGATGGCACATGGTCTGGCTGATCAGCAGTTCCGCTCATATGAAGACATCAAAAAATGGCTTGATTCGTGGATAGCCTCAAAAGACGAACACTTTTACCGTAACGGTATTCGAGCTCTGCCAGAAAGATGGGAAAAAGTTGTAGCTACCGATAGGCAATACTTTGAATGATTTATTTGTAACCATTTTTTCACAATAAAGTTGCATTTAAAAAAAAAAACAAAAAAAAAAACAGCGAGGACTTAGTTGCGCATTTAATATTAATTGTGTAATTAGTTTGTTGAGTCTTAAAGCATTTGTAATCGATTTAAAGATCGGTGCTTTTGAAAGTATGTCTTACTAATTCGGATATACCTTTTAAGTATGGAAGAACAATAACATTCTTCTCATCAGTACATTGGATTTCTTTGTTAAAAGCAGCATTAAGTTTGGAAGAGATAAGATTTTTAAATTCTGGTATTAATGCTTTTAAAATTTAACTCAAGAGGATAACCATTGTCTAATAAGGTGTTTATGCAAAAATTAATGTTCTTTTCGTGAAAGTCAGGGTGTCATAAGAACACGGCTCTGTTGATACAACTATGGATAGTACCTTTCTTACGGCACAATAGATGATTTATTCTTTGAATTATTTTCAGATACGACAAGAATCTATGGCTGCGAAGTACGACGAAGACATCATTTAGAGAGGAAGGAAGGTGGTGGATTTGATCCCGAAGAATACGATCAGCATCCAGAATTGTATATTTCTACTTTTAGCAAAAAGATAGCGCCATATGCCTCAGTGATCATCAATGGCATATATTGGGCTGTAGATTCACCAAAACTGTTAACGATTCCGGATGCCAAATACTTGCTTAGACCCGCTAATACACCATGGTTACCGATAAGTGTCGGCGCACCCGCTCTGCCACACAGAATGCTTGCCATCTGCGACATTTCCGCTGATCCGGGCGGTAGCATCGAGTATGTACATAGATCTATAATGTGTGACTGCGCTTTATTCAAATACATGTTTTGTTTTAACACAGAATTTTTCTTACGTATTTTGCAAAAAAGGTTCATGAATGAATGTACAACAATTGATACGCCATTTTGTCTCTATGACGCTGATCGCAACAAAGATACGAAATCCTTTAAAGGTCCTGGTGTACTAGTCTGTTCAATTGACAACATGCCTACGCAACTTCCAAAAGAATCGACAGACTTTTTTGGTAATCTTTTATATCCATACGCTTTAGACATTATAGAATCGGATGCAAAAAAGCTGCTAGAAGAACACAACTTCAGTCCTGCTGTTCATGGTGCTATTATTGCGTCTAACGGAAAATTAACGCCTAACTTTGAATACATCCAAGAACTCAGACACCTAAATCAACGCAGCAAGCACAAAGCCGATAACAGAGAACTACAAAATAAAACGGTAAAATATTTCTTTTTCTTTTAAGAAGATTCGGTCGGGTTATTTAGAAGAACAAGAGGAATCAGATAATACCTTACCGACATTAACATTTTGCAAAACTTATTAATTTTTACTTTGTTATATACAATTTATTGTTGTCTATTTTAAACGACTAAAGTAATAAACAGCCGATTGTTGAGCTGGATTGTGCTATTGCTACTTTTTCTTTAAACTAACCTAACCTTACAAATCACCGTCTTTGGAATTCTAACAATTATTTTTTTTTTAGTTGTGTGGAGAAAGGTCTTTTTACTTTTTGCACAATAATTCCTAAATTTTTAAAATATGTTTTCCTCTCTCTCTAATTTATTATTTTTATCTTTACTTCAAACTTCCCACACTGAACAAAAACTCCATTAGACGTCTATTAAACGTCCACAGCTCCATGCGACATCTAATAGATCCCACACAGCAAAATATATCATAAAGATGTCTGGAAGATATCTAACTATCAGAATATCTGATTGCGTAAATACTAGTCAGATATCACTGAGATATCTGATTTAGATCTCAGATATACTTTGCTGTGTGGGATGTCTAATGGATGTCTGTGTCAGGGCCACCAAACTGCGTGTACCAGCGTTAGTGGCGCCTTCTATAATAAGTTCTACCTGGCATATGAACTAAATACGAATGTGTAAGTGAATACGTGTGAACACGTTTCAACACGTTTTGCCGTTAGTTATACGCGACTACATTGTGCAGTTGTTAAATCATTTTTTGTTACATTTTAATAAACATTAAAGATGGTAAGAGCATGTTGCGTTTCTACTTGTAAATCTGGGAGTAATGTACCATCCCATTTATTCCCAAAAAATCGTGAACGTCGCAAGTTGTGGTTAGACAATTTACATATACAGCAAGTAGATGAACGTGAAATTCAAATGTGGCGAGTGTGCTACAAACATTTTTGTGACAACGATTATAGTTGTGCCCCAACAAGACGTGTTTTAAAAAACACTGCAATTCCGACATTACATATTCCATCAGATGAAACTACAGCAAACACAAAAACTGTTGAACACCAACAATTGAAGAATCAGCAGCAAGAATTGACAAAACAAGGAATAATACTTCAACAGCATGAAGAACAGATAGTACAGCAGACAGAGCAGCAACAAAAATTTGCAAAGCAAGAAATGATACTGCAACAGCATCAAGAACAGATGCAAAAGAATTTATTTTACAATGGTGCAAATTTATTAACAACATATTAACTGGTAAAATACAAAAAGAATGTTGGGATGCTAATGTTATATATACTCAAGCTAAAACAATGTCTCTGAAATATTCTAAGAACAAAAAATAAAATGTTGACATTTATATTTTATATAATATTGTAACGTTCTGGAATTTCTCGTTAAGGAATTCGGAAAAGCTCAGGATAGTTCGCCGGGCGGGGTATAAGAAATACTCGGCGGTTTATTTGTGTAACAAAAAAAAAAAATATATATTTGCGTTGGTAATTAACAAAAGAAATGTAGTTGACAATAAAGCAAGAAATATCCGCGTCAGTAACAAAAAAAAATAATAACTTTTAATGACAAACAAAAACGTATTCGCATTAGTATTAAGGAAACATAACTAATTTACGCTGACGGGATAAAACGGAGTAATAGCACAAAAGAAATAATATCGTTTGGTTGAGACACCCCGGAAGCGATGTAATGAAACGCTGAGTGCAATATACAAGAATACGCCCCGGTGCAATAGATTCCCTGGTGCGGAATAAAAGGGATAGCTGCGGTATTTAAACTTCTCGGAAGGAGAAGTTACGGCTTCGCCGTATTTCAGCCTAGTCAGTCTGCTGACAGTTGTTTTCTTTCGCGCGTACGTGGCCTTGTCGACCCAGGGCCACACGTGAATCGTGTAGACACACCTCACGTGATCACGTGAGCGTGTTCGTTTCGCTGTCAGGGATTGCGACCTCGGCAACCGGAAACCCGGATCGCCGAGACACTCGGCTGGAGAATTCCCGGTGCAGAGGGAAGGTTGCCGAGACGCTCGGCCGGAGGCTTGCTTCTCCTGGTGCGGAGGGGAGGTCGCCGAGGCGCTCGGCCGGAGAATTGCTTCTCCAGGTGCGGAAGGAAGGTCGCCGAGACGCTCGGCCGGAGAATTGCTTCTCCAGGTGCGGAAGGAAGGTCGC